TGTAATTGTGTAATTTATTTTAATAATAAATAAATAAACAAAATGAGAAAAAGTATACAGATTGTTATCAAATCTTTATTGTTTAAAATCATTAATTGTCATATATATTTTAATCACATTAGGTAATTCCGTATGTTTTATTTAAGGAAAGCATGCAAAATAATAAATATTTGATATATGCGACCAACTTTAATCTACGAGATATTATATTGCTAGAAAATATAATTTTTATACTATACATTATATCACATGCTCTAGAATCCTTGGAATTTGAAATAGAAGCCAAATAGCTATGCCACATAGGATTGGGGTTATTTTTAATTCTTACAAACTTAAGGTTACAACTTTTTAAATGATTCTCAAATAATATATAGGGGATTTGGGCTCAGAAACGAGAAGTCCCTTAGAGCATCCGCAACCGTGAGACTCATATGGGTACTTAAGAAAAAAGGTATTTCAGATATGGTAAGGATATTTCGGATTTTTTTTTTTTTTATAAAAAAGAGAAAAAAAGATGACCATTCGCGGACGCTAGGTGTCCTAGGGATCCGCAAATAGTGTAAGGATTCGCTAAGAAATAGTCCTTATTTAGGGATTTTAAGGATCGAATCCTTAATTTTTTTTGTGGGATCTACCGATTATTTAATTATTTTTTTCCTAAGAATTCTCTCCTAAGGATTTCCGTTGCGGATGCTCTTGGTATAATGTCTGAAATCTGAGTTTCACTGGCATCGTTTAGTAACTGAAATGTCATGAGGAATCCAGGTCGAGTTTCAGTGGCGTCGTCACGAATGAAGTTATTCTCCTCTGAGACGTTACGAGATCCATAGCCATTAACAACCATCTTTACTTCTTCGATCACAACATACACGATCACTCATTCATTATCTCTCTGGAGACGGTAGATAACACCTATAAAAGGTCAGCTTTCTTCCACTGAACTCGACAATGGCGACCGTGAAGATAGCGGTTCTTGCTTGGCTCAACGGCGGGGATTGGAGCATGGTGAAGTGAAAGTGGTTTGAGCAGGAGGAATGGTTCAGCTTAAAGCTCTGAGGGTGCGATGACAAAAAAACTGCTGCTCCCAATACTGTCAATAGAAAGAGTGAGAAGAACATTACGTAAATTAACCATAAGTTCAAAAGACTTGCTTTGATTTATAAGAATCAGTGGAATAGATAATTCAATATTTTGTTCACTGGGAAGAGGTACAGCTCCTTCGGTGATACACCTTTCAATGTAAGGGTTAATGACAGCTTTGATTAATTTATGTATCCTGTTTTGGTGAAGCTTTTATGTGTCTACTGTATTCATCACTCTTCTATGTTTTGCTGCAGATTTGTTTAACAAGTAGCCATGGGTAAAGAGAAGTTACCATCAACATTGTGGACATGTTGATTTTGGAAAATCGACAATCATTGGTCACTTGATCTACAGCCTTCGTGGTATAATTGTGTGATTGTGTTCAGAAGGAAGCTGCTGAGATGCGCAAGAGGTCCTTCAAGTATGTGTGGGTGTTGGGTATCAACATTCTATCCGGACGTTTGAGCCCACTAAGTAGTACTGCACTGTCATTGACGTTCATGGATTGACTTCATCAAGAACATGATTAGAGGTACCTCCCAGGTTGATTGTGTTGTTCTTATCATTGACTTCACCACTGTGGTTTTGAAGTTGGTATCTCTAATGAGTAATGAGGGACAAACATGTTAGCACGCTCGCCTTGCTTTTAACCCTTGGTATCAAGCAAATTATTTGCTGCTGTAATAAGGTTTAAATAGCTATTCATTTACCATTGCTTGCTGTGAGTATACTCTTTTGATACCCTGCTAAAACAGATGCATGTCTTTTGTTATTTGATGTTGGTAGATAATCGAATTAACCTTTAGAATGTTTTGATTGTACGTTTTTATTTACTTACTAAGTAATGGGACCTAATGATAATTGCATTTATCTATATTCATTTCCTTTTCAGCAGTAAACTAACTAACATGAAATCACATTTAAACTTGCATAAATGTCAAGACTATTAGTATTTATGAGAATTGAACCTATCGCATATAATTTATAAATCTCTCCCAGACACTTCACTAATTTATAAATCTCTCCCAAGACAATCCACCAAGAAAAATCTCTCCCAAAACAATCCACTAATTTATAAATCTCTCCGAAGACAATCCACCAAGACAAATCTCTCCCAATTATCTACATAGTACATCAAATATTTATTGTTTACGTAGAACAAAATAAAACTTATATACGTAGAAACAAATAAAATAAATAGAATAAAATCAGCGAAAATACATATTATAACGGGAAAATTGTTATTTAAATCACCAACTTTCAAATTTGGTTGAAATAAAGCACCAACTTTTTCATAAACAAAAAAAACACTCAATTTTTGTTGACAAACCATTTTAATCACAAACTTTCGTCGATCGTACCAATTTAGTCATATCGTTAGTTAACAGTTATAGTTGACTAACAGTAGGCCTAAAAAGGCTTTCAAAGTTGATGTTTTTTTTTGGCACAAATATAAATCAATATTTTTTACAATATTGGATATATTTTAAACATTGAAAATAATTTTATAACTGAAGCCCTAATAAAAAAATTATAAAAAAATCCAAAATAATATAAATAAAACTCAATGTAAAATAATTACTTAACATACATTAATTGAGTATCTTAGTTATTAAATGATAAGAATATTTTAATCATTTATAATTAGTTTTTGTAAATATTTATATAATCCTATTTGAAAATAATTTTATATCTGAAGCACTAATAAAAAAATTATAAAAAATCCAAAAAAATAAATAAATAAAACTCAATGTAAAATAATTACTTAACATACATTAATTGAGTATCTTAGTTATAAAATGATAAGAATATTTTAATCATTTATAATTAGTTTTTGTAAATATTTATATAATCCTATTTGAATTATGTTTTATAATTTTATTTTCAAAAGTTTGTTGATGAAATATTAATTTAACTCTTGATTCTTAAATAAAAAAAGTTATCGGTTAACAAACTATTCATGATTCTTTATATTTATAGTAAAGATCTTCAAACATATCTATATAATTTCTATCAAATTTTTACAAAAGGTTTTCTGTATTTAAAGAAAAATAAGTTTCACCAAAATCGATAACTCTTTTTGTTATCCGATAACTTATTTTGTTTAAAAAAATCAAGAATTGAACTAATATTTCACTAACAATTTTTTTACAGTAAAATTATAAAACATAATCCGAGTATGATTATATAAATATTTTTTAAAATTAATCGTAAATAATTAAAAAAAAATTCGTAATCATTTTTCACTAAAATACTCAATTAAGGATATGTTAATTAACTATTTACATTGAGTTCTGTTTATATTTTTGGTTTGAATTTATTTTTTTTTACAATTTTATTTATTAGTGTTATAGTTATTAAAAGTTTCAATATTTAAAATCCACTATTTTGAAAAAAAATTGATTTATATTTGTGCCAAAAAAACCCATTAACTTTAAAAGCCATTTTAGGCATACGTTAGTCAACTATAACTGTTGATTAACGATATGACTAAAGTGGTATGGTTGAAGAAAGTTTGTGATTAAAATTACTTGTCAACAAAAGTTGAGTGTCTTTTTGGTTTATGAGAAAGTTGGTGATTTATTTCAACCAAATTTGAAAGTTGGTGATTTAAATAACAATTTTCCCGATGAAATTGAGATACACCACACGTCCTCCTCTTGTAAGGATTTTTTTAAAGAAGAAAATACTATAAAAAAACCCCACATAAATGTTCACCAAAATCTTCAAATCCTCTTCAAAATCCATTTAATTTTATCAAATCTGAACCAGCAATCAATGAGGAACGGTAGTGATTGGCACAACCAGCGGAAATGAACCCGTGAATAATGGAATCCTGCATTTTTAAACAGAAGAGACATATGAGACATAGTTAGACAACCGATTATAGAAGAGAAGCAACCTTTTCATCTAGGAAGAGATGAGTGATTCCCATAAATTCACTGTTTTGGTGTTACGGAAATCCCAAAAGCGGAGAAGACGATCTTGAAGATTCATCCAACCCCTAGCCCTCTCCAATATATAGGTTTGACGTGAAGGAAACTGAGAGGTCGACATCGCTTCTGAATCATTAATTGGTAAATGAAGACACATATGTTTAACAATAGGGAAGATTAAGAGTTTGGAAGAAGTGTTTGGTATTTGCAGAGAAGCTGAACAGACACCGGTCAAGGTGACGGAGAACAATAAAACGAAAAAAGCTACCTACTTGACCACAAAATGCTGTGTTTAATAACAAATCGTTGTGTTTATTATTGGGTTAGACTTAGAGTGATCGGTCCATATAAAAAATCATTACACACAAAAACTTTAACGCAAAACATAATCAAAATTGTATTAAGCAAAGTTTCTCTCCAAATCCACATACATGCTAATGTGTACACTTTTAGGAAGATGCAAAAATTCTCTCATTATATATATGATTGACTCAAGTAGCAATCGCTTCAACAACAACAACAAAATTTTATTTAGACAACTCCATAACAAAAATAATTAAAATTTTACATATATAAAATATGACAAATCCCACATCAAAACTAAATGGAATTTAACAGCACAATAAAGAAAAAAATAACAACCTCAAACTATCTTCCTACTTGAGTCTTTTCTTATGTATTAATTAGTACGTAAATAATACCATTTTACTCTTTTTAAACGTGTTACACATGCAAACTTTCTCAATATTTCTTTTCACTTTTCACACCGAGATACAAATATGAAAACTATTGAAATATAAATTTACGTTGGACTAGAAAAAACAACTTCCGAACAAAAACAATACTCCAACCATAAATAAATCAACGAAACAAGGAAAAAACAACAACAAAAACTTGTAAACAACTGATAATAATAGACAATCAATATATTTTTTTTTAAATAGTAGGCAAGCGCAAGAAGAACATTTTATTACTTTCGAATCACGACACAAGACGGCATTGTTTTGCCCATTCCAAGAGAGAGCGATAAGAAGACCCACCATGAGCCCAAGCTCGCTCGGAGCTAGCCATCACCTCCTCAGCTTTAGCCCTGACCTTTTGTCCTTCTTCATCCTCTTCCACCATAATCTTTCTTACCAAAGTCGCCACTTCTTCCCGGCCAATCACTCTCTTTGATGGTAACTCCGACGTACGAACGGCCACACCGATGTCCTCCGTTAGCAACGTGGCATTCATCCATTGCTCTGCATAAAGAGGCCAAGCCACGATTGGAACTCCTTTAGTCAAGCTCTCCAACACGGAACTCCACCCACAATGGGACAAGAACCCACCAATCGATCCATGGCTCAAAATCTCAACTTGCGGTGCCCATTGCGTGACAACAAGACCGACACCATACGTGCGGTCCAAGAAACCTTCTGGTAGACCGGCACTTACCTCCTCATCATCACTTGATCTCGCCCCAAGGTAAGAAGTCGGCCTACGCAGAACCCATAGGAAACTTTGACCACTTAATTCTAAGCCAAAAGCGAGTTCCATAGTTTGCTCTAAGGACAGTGTACCACCACTCCCTAAACACACAAACATCACTGACTTATCCGGTTGCTTGTCTAACCACTCGAATGTGCTGTTAGCCTTTTCAATGGGCCCACTAGACCTAACAATAGGCCCAATACCATAAACCGGGGCTTTCATAACCCGGCTCAGTTTTCCATCCTCCATAAGACCACCTCCATCGGAGGCGTTTATAAGGGGTTCTCAACAGAAAAAACAAAAAAAATAAATGGAAAAAGAGAAAATAGAAGAGAACCGCTGTCTTATATAGCACCTTTAGAATTAGTAAAAACCCCTTCCGTGGCCTTTTTTTATTGGCTAAATTCCTTTTTACCTTCTCTCTTCTTCTTCGTCGCTGTTTTTCTTTTTGATCTGGGAAATCTCTTGATCAATGTTCGTTTTCTGTGGTGTGGGAAGGGAAGCATCTTGTAGATAGAACCGTGTTGCTATAAAGGAGATCGCCATGTCGGAGATTTTCATCGTGAGGAAGATCAATCACGTCAACATCATCCGCTTCATCGACATTTCATCGACATGATTGAGGTTCGTCTTCCTTTTCTCTTCTTGACATGATTGAGGATGTTGTTAAATCGTATAAAGCTCCCATCTTTGAGCTTCGTTTGTTTCTTAAATTTCTTCTTTTTGCTTGGAGTTTTAGAAAATGTCAAATTTTGTGATTGACACTTGTGTTCCTGGAGGTAACGTAAAATGGCGTGCGTTGAGGCTCGGGCAACTACTCATGGGGAAGTGAATCAGTGACCCGCAAGACCAGAGTTCTTGATGTTGTCTACAACGCTTTCAACAACGAGCTGGTCCGGACCAAGACTCTTGTGAAGAGTGCTATTGTTCATGTCGATGCTGCGCCTTTCAAGCAGTGGTACTTGCAGCATTATGGAGTTGAGGTTGGTTGCAAGAAGAGTAATGCCGCTTCGGCCGCCAAGCAGGATGGGGTGGTAACAATTCTTTTCTGTAAACTTGGGTGAATGGGTTTGATTGCTAAAGGATGGTTTTCTGTTTTGTGACATCTGAAGAACATCCTTCAAGGGATGAGAGTGTGACTGAAGGAATGGGATCAGTGTCTATTGATGCTTGGTGATGCCAAGGTTGATGAAGATGGTAATATTTATGACACTAAAGATGGTAACTTGATTTATTTTGATAAAGATGGTGAGGACCGGGAGATCAATGTAAGTTTATTTACCCTTTCTTCAGCGAAATTGTTGGAATTGAAGGTTATGCAAGTACCTTAACTGATGTATGTGGGGTTTGTGTGTTTGCAGATATCATCTGCAATATGCTTTTTAAGGGGGAAAGCATATGGAGCTTTACAAAATCGTTCTCAAGCNCCTGAATCTCGAACTTCATCCCCATTTAGCTTTAACAACAAAACAAAAAAAAACTTTAAGAACCCCTATGAAGTTCTCCCATTGGAGGTGAAAAAAATAATTACACTAAGATAGGTTCTTAACTTCTCAAATCACCTAATTAACTATTAATTTAATCATAGAACCCCATTAAAGGTTCCTACCAATGGACTTGCTCTAAGCGCAGTTAGAGTGTTTCCTTGCAACTCCTCCCAAGTATTTACCAGAACGCCATGGCACATAGGTATCTCCTCGCCACACCGCAGACACTCTCGATACTGTGGGTCTGACCGGTCTAACATTGTTTCCATAAGCTCTCCGGGTCCGACCGGTCTACAACCCGGTATTTTCATAGGCTCTTTGATATCAATATATTCCCCTTCCACGACTTTATCCAATACCGGCAAGTACACTACCACCGCCAAGAACCACGCGTGAGAAGGGACGTACACGTAAGTACCCTTCACGCCAATATCATCGGCAACGGACATCAATCCGGTACCAAAAAAGTCTATGATCATGACCGTCGGTTTCCAATTCATTGATTTCACGGCGTCGTGAACCGCCATCTTCGTCTTTGTGGCTCGCATCATCTCTATGATTTTAGTGGCCACCGTCGCATCTGGGGAGTGGTCTATATCAAATGAGTGTAGTTCCCTAACTTCACACGTCCCTCTCGCCACGGATGCACGTATGGCATCGGTTTCGGTCGGGGAGGAACCGGAGGTTACGGCCAGAATGGTGACGTGAATGTTGAGGACGGTGGAGAGACGGTTGCCTAGTTCGAGGATAGGGATGAGGTGGCCTAAGCCAGGGCTAGCGACTAGAAGCGCGTGAGGCTGGTCCATGATCTAATCATGAGAAGGATGTGTTAACATGATTATGAATCGAGAGAATGCTAAGTAAATAAAAGGGTATTATTACCTGTCCTTGTTTATGAAGTTGTGTCTTGCTTGTCAATGGATGTGCATGAACTGGGATAAGACCATGCTATATATATAAATGGATATTTTACAGAGAGAATATTTATTATTGCTTTTGAAGGGATGAATATTTAGAATAATTATTTTTTAAGTGGCAATTGCTATATTATCTTTTTTAAAAACGTGGCTTGTATTCGATAGGGGTCACTGACAAGTGCATGCATGTCAAGTATTACGCATATATAAGACCAAAAGTTATGTTAAAGAGACCTAACAATAACGAGCTTTCCTACTTTTGTACTGAAGCCTAACGTTGTAGCCAAAGGAACAAAAAAGAATCTACACATCCCGATGTTTCTCAGATTTGTCCAAATTAAGAAGAATAATTGCTTTTCCCGATGTTTCTCACATTTAGGCTTTGACCCAAAAGTTGTTGTCGCAAACAGGTAAGCAAACTCAAGGCCGGCTCAAACGTTAGGGTGATGGTAGAAGAAGACAATGCGCAGGTGCGGTGGTACGTGAATGGAGAGGGCCAGAGGGGGCAGCTTTCAGTATCTACTCTATTAATTAAAACTAGAGAATTTGCTCGCCGGGTTTATACAATAGCGTTGTATATATTTAATATCTATATTACAATATATTACTTCTATGTGATAAAAATATAAATAGTAAACTGAATAGAAATGAATAAAACTCACAATTCATGGGTTTTTTAATCTAAAATATGTATGGGAATGGTGTACAAATGTGAAATGAATGAAGAATACGTTAAACTTTAGTTATTATCTAAAATATTGTTTCTTACATATTTAGGTTATTATGAGAATATATTGTTGATCTCAACATCACATATTTATTTGTCATATGTATTATTTTTGTAATGTTTATTTTTTTCTTTATATGTTATTTAATCTTTTATAATATATTTCCTTATGATTATAATCTTTTATTAAAGTTATAGTAAATAAATCTAATTTAACCACACATTGCTTTAAATAAAACAAATTTAATGTTGTATGTGTTAAATACAATGAAAATTCTACGAAAATATTATTATTTACTATACCTTATTTTTGGGTTATAAACCGAAAAAATATCTTATTATTGGTATTGTTAGGATGAACCATGGTTTAGTATTGGTGATTTAAACGAAATTACGGGAAACCACGAAAAATAAGGAGGGATTTTACGTCATGCTGACTCGTTTATTTCTTTTAATAATATGATACAAAAGTGCGGTTTGATGGAGTTCCCGAGTTTAGGTAACACACTTTCTTGGAGGCGAAGGAGGGGAGGGCATGTTGTTAGATGTCTGTTAGATCAGGCTTTGGGAAATAATGATTGGCATAATTTATTCCCTTGCTCTTTTGTTGAATATATGGGGATGATAGGATCTGATCATATAACAATTGTGACCTTCATGGACGACCAAATTATCCAATCCCGGCGTCAGTTTTTGTTTGATAAGAGATGGGTTGGTGCGGACAGCCTCACGGAGGCTATAGAACGAGGTTGGTCAATGAATAGAGGTGGCCGTAATGAAGGTTTAGTGGATAAGATTTGGAATTGCCGACATGAGATATCGGTATGGCGAAAGAGCAACCCACCGTATGGGAAAAAAAATTAAAACTTTACAAAAAGCTCTTGAGGATGTCCAAAATGACATGTCAAAATCATATGAGGAGGTGGTAGAAGTGTCACTAAAATTAAAAGAAGCATATAGAGATGAGGAATTATACTGGGAACAAAAATGCAGAACTACATGGCATACATGCAGAGACATGAACACAAAATTTTATCATGCATTAAACAAAACAAAGACAGATCCAAAACATGATTATTGGTTTGTATAATGAGGATGGGAATTGAACTAATTCTGAAGATGAAGTTGAGAAAGTAGAGGTAGAATATTTTGATGACTTGTTTCATTCGACTTCCCCAGCTGATTTTGATATTATTGTGGAGGAGGTCCCAGAATTGATAACTAGGGAATAAAATAGACGGCTAACAGGTTTGGCTACTTAGGAGGAGGTGAAACAAGCCTTATTTATTATGCATCCAGAAAAAGGCCCAGGACCTGACGGTATGACCGCCTTATTTTATCAACAATCATGGTCAGTAATTAAGCATGATGTGATTAATATGGTTAACGAATTTCTCCGGTCAGGAGATTTAGATGACATAATCAATCTGACAAATATTTTTCTTATCCCTAAAACTATTCGGCCAAGTCGAACGACGGAGCTACGACCTATAAGCCTCTATAATATCGGTTATAAAATTATCTCAAAGGTATTATGCCAGCGGTTGAAGGGCCTACTTCCCAATCTAATTTCAGAGACGCAATCTACTTTTGTTTCAGGAAGATTAATTTCAGATAATATTCTTATTGTTCAGGAAATGTTTCACGGGTTAAGGACTAATAATGCTTGTAAGGAAAAATTTATGGCCATTAAGACATATATGAGTAAGGCGTATGATAGGGTGGAATGGGTTTTCATGGAGCACCTTCTTCTGAAAATGGGTTTCTGTTCCATATGGTGTCTAGGATAATGAAATGCATTTCATCAGTTAAATATAAGGTGTTACTTAATGGACAACCTAAAGGAAGTATTATTCCAGAAAGAGGATTGTGAAAAGGGGATCTATTATCACCATATTTATTTATTTTGTGTACGGAAGCTCTCATTGCAAATATTAGGAAAGAGAAACGGGATAAGAGGCTGACGGGTTTAAAAATATCCCGAGGGGGTCCCTCGGTGTCCCATCTTCTTTTTCTGGATGATAGTTTATTTTTTTGTAAGGCCAATTCGGCTGAGTGCGACTTGATCCTTAAGCTTCTAAAGGATTATGAGACAGATTCTGGACAGCTTATTAATTTTGAAAAATCATCTCTCCTATTTGGTCATAAATTTCCAGAAATGAAGAGGTCGGAAATCCATTCTCAGTTAGGAATTACTACGGTAGGAGGTATGGGTAACTACCTTGGTATACCGGAATCATTAGGTGGATCGAAGGTTCAGGTATTTGGATATGTGAACAAAAGAATTAATCAGAAGGTTAATTGCTGGACCGTTAGATTCCTTACTAAAGGTGGAAAACAGGTTATGATTAAGTCGGTAGCGACTTCAATGCCGAACCATGTTATTTTATGTTAAAGAATACCTAGGACGGTAACAAAAGAGGAATTCATTGGCTTTCTGGGGATAAAGTGTGCAAACATAAGGATGAAGGTGGTTTGAGTTTCCTCGATATTCATGATTTCAATGCATTACTGGCAAAGCAATTATGGCGTTTAATAAATAAACCGAATTGGTTATTTTCTAAGGTGTTCAAAGGTCGGAATTTTAGGAAACCGGATCCTTTGTACCAACACAGATCTTATTCACCATCCTAAGGCTGGAGGAGTATCTGTTCAGCTAGTCTCTGGTTAGAAAATGGCTAATCAAAATAGTCGGAAACGGACAATCCATTTCAGTATGGAATGATCACTGGATTCCAGCTCGTCGCCCGAGGTCAGCAACCCCAGAAAATTCACCTCAGTTCTTAAATCCTTCTTTTAAGGTCGAACATCTTATTGATCCGGTGACGTCTTTCTGAAACCTAGATCTGCTCAATGCATATATACATCCGGATGATGTTAAGATTATTAAAGGTATGTTTGTTAGTCGGTTAAATAGGACTGACTCTTATGGTTGGGCATTTACAGAAAATGGTAAATATTTGGTTAAATCAGGTTATAAAATATAGACTTTATACCCAGATAAAGAATACCAACCAGTTACTTTCGGACCTACTATTAATTCTTTATTAAGCTACACTTGGAAACTTAAATATCCGCCAAAGTTGAGGCCTTTCATTTGGCAAGTTCTAAAGGGTACTATCCCGGTCGCAAAATATTTGAGATCACGAAGGATCGATTGTGATTTACGATGTAGTATATGTGGTGCTGAGGAATTTATTAATCATGTTTTTTTTTGATGTCCTTCGGCTTTGCAAACACGGGCTTTGTCGAAGGTACCTTCTCCTTTGGGTATTTTCCCAACACCGTCGGTCTATTCTAATATGGACTATTTGTTTTGGAGATTACCAAAAGATTATGATTTCAGTTTCTTTCCTTGGATTTTATGGTATATTTGGAAAATAGAAATAATAAGATTTATAAAGGCAGAGATGGCAATCCACAGGAAATTCTTCGGGTAGCGGAAGTGGAGGGAGAGATGTGGGCGGATGCCCAACTATCGGTACTGGACAGGCAACCCACGTCTTCAGTATCAGCTGATTGGCTTTCAGTACCGCACTCTAAGATTTGCTTTGTTGATGGTGCATGGCACAAGATAAGTTCTCAAGACAAGGATGGTTCTGCAGAACTAATGGTTCAGAAGAAAAGTTGATGGGGGCGATTAATCTCTGCAGAAGCTTATCCGCTTTACATACAGAATATGAGGCTTTGATATGGCTATGGAGTGCATGAAGACCCATAACTTTTCATATGTAGTGTTTGCAACCGACTGTTCTCAACTGGTGAAGATGGTGTCATCCCGGAGGAATGGCCAGATTTTGTTACACATTTGGAGGAGTTCCAGCACAATAAGTCCTTCTTCCCTACCTTCCACATCCGACATATTTCGAGGGCGCATAATTTAGTGGCGGACAAGCGTGCACGTGGTTCCAGATGTTCCCTTTCTACTATGTTCTATGTTGGTTCTATGCCTCGGCTTGGTTTTCTGATCCGGAAGGACATACATTATAGTTTACTTCTATTGTTGTCAAAAAAACAGAAAAAATATCTTACAATTTAGCTATAGTTAAAAATATTATTCTGGATTAAACCCCAGTGTAAAATTTTAATCAAAATATACTCAATAGATATTCACTATTATTACTTTTATTATTAAATATTAGTTGGTTTTACGGTTGCTATT